AAATATTTCAATTCTTCCTGGCTCACCTTTTGGCTCATTACGCCACTGATAGAACAACAAAAACTAGCTCGGAATATGAGGAATGGGTACAGTATTTGAAGTGGACTGTGTATAAACCTACACACGATGCGCTAGTGCCCTTTGGTAAGGCATAACATCCTCATTACCAACAATTGTTCGTTACGAAATTATTCTAAACCGATTGGTCGCTTTTGAAGCTTGCGGGCAATCCTGGATAGATTTTTTTTAAGTCAATGTGCAAAATGTTATGACCACAAATATTCATCAAGATAGGCGCATTTAACTCAAACAATGGGGGGGGGGGGGGGGTGGTGGGTTATGATTATCGGCTATACAGAAATCAAAAGAGAAGTGCGTCAAGGGTGCGTAATGTCCCTGAACCTGTGCGGAGAGTTGATAGGGAAATTGCAGTGTCAGTGTTTAAGGTGAAAATACTCTGCTGGTGACACTGTTTTGTGGGCGGTGAGAGTGAAGAACATAGTGAGGAACAAAGTGATAAACACAGAGAAGAAAATGGACATTGACGAAGACCATGGAAAGGAAAAAAACAATTATACATGTATTATGTTTTTCGTAAGGAAATTACATAATTTTAATATTTAGTGTACATGAGAATAATGTGGAAAGATATGAAAACTAACCGAGAAATACTGCAAATAGCAGGACTTAAACAAAATATCCTGGTAGGAATTTTTACAGCTAGAGTTAGGCGAAATACTTATACCTCATCAAAATACATCAGAGTCTCTTGAAAGATTTGTTGAAAGGGAAAGTAGAAGGTACCAAAAAAAGAGGGAAACCAAGAACCAACTGGGAGGTAAACATCAAGACAAACAGTGGAATGACAATCAGCCTCCGAGCTGATAGAAGATACCTTGATAGATTTGGATCACTTCCTTCGTGGCTGGATCTTCACCAAATTATCGTAACAGATACTCCAAAGTAGTCGATGAGTTAATAATAATATAGCAATGATAGTAATATTGGGTACAACGCAAGGTACTCAAGGCGCTTTAATATTATTCTTGAAAAGTACTTTCCACTATTTTTTCTTTCTGTTTTGAGGATTGATTCCACTCTACTCGAAGCAAAATGGTCCCTGATATGACCCCCACCCCACCCTCCCCCCCCCCAAAAAAAAAATGAAAGGACTTCCACTGTACATTTTGAGAGTAGCTGCTACCTTAATCAATATTTACCCAAAGTTCTATCTCTCTTTTAATCATTTAGAATCTGATTCATCTTCGTCCTCTGGTGATTGTGACAATCCAACTTTAACATCCATGTTTAAAGGACACAATAGACAGGTAAATAACAAACTTATTAATGCATCCATGTCTTTATCTTTACGTAACCATAGAACAATGAAATACATTTCAAATGTATTTCATTGATATGTTCTAATTGCCAAATGTTAAAAATAATGATCGTGACATTCTTACTTTACATTCATGTTTAAAGGGGGGAATTAGATTCAAATTCATATGTCACTCCTCACACTACAAAATCGTCTGGCAAGCCGAAAACAGATCCTCACGTGTTGGGGATTAGTACAAATCGAATAAGGGGGAGGACGGTTTCACGGGTGTTAAGGGTTGCATCAAAATAATGAGCAAAGTCTCTAATTAAATAATGGCCTATGTAAAACTTACACGGCAGTCTAACATAAATCGATTATGAATTTTTTTCAGGAATTTCTCACATTTCCCGTCCCTATGGCATTACACGGAGTAGGCTAGAAATCAGTATTGATTGTTTTATTTTTCGCTTCAATATTTTTTAAAATATTTGTTTGTTAATGTGATGAGGTAAATTTCTGTTCGGTTGTCAATTTTACTTAACCACAACAATAAAGTGGCTCCCAAATAGTAAAGTTGTTCGTTCCAATAACTCTGTCGTGCTTAATTAAGACGCAAAAATATAACATTAGTGTGTTCTTAGACTACCTACTACATAAGGTAACATGTTTTCAGAATTATAGCCTTCTTACGTTATTTAATTTCATTTCTTTTGTAGAAAAGAAGTGCGCTAACCCGAGGTAAGTGAGATTGTGTCTTTTTTTATTGAAATATCGATTTAAGACATTTCTATCAATCCTGAAAAATAGGGGAAGAACAGATAACTGCTAGTCGAGAACTTTAAAGTCACCTCGATGCCTGTACTGTTCATGACAGTACAATACTTTGAGTAGCCATGAAGTAATGTACGTAAGGACACATACAATTAATATCTTTTTCGCTTTCCCTCCCCTTCTTTTGTACGACCCGCCTCAGTTTGATTGGTATTTTATTTGGTATTTTTGTTCAGAAACGAATAAACATGTACAAACAAACACTGGGAACCAAAATCGTTTAGATAATGAATATTCACATTGTTTTGAGCCTCTGAAGTGCAAATCTAAATACATAAAGAAAAAATGTGTAGAAGGAGTTTTTAGAGGGCTGGAAATATATTAAAAAAAGTTGAATATCAAAATTTATTTTATATCATTATGCCAACACCTATAGACTTAATCTGATATATAGTAATAGTACTTTATCTCGATAAACTTAGACTCGTTTCATCGGTTTGCTGTTTTGGGGGGAAACATTGGAACTAAGAACTCTACATTTGTGAATAGTTTACACTTCTTTATGTTTTTCTGCGGGGTGAACACCAAACCTAAATGATTTAATGTAATGTAGTCTTTATTCCAATGGTCATGTCTTTCTGGGTATGTGGTAGCAAAGTTTAGGTGTCAGGTCTTCCATTTTTTGACAGACTACCATACCCAGCAATTTCAGGACTGTTTTTTTTTCTTCCCCCTTACTCGCCATGGGTATGCTCCCCCCCCCCCCTGCCCGGACCCCCATTTAATCTTCCTCCTTTTGGTGAATTTCTCTGTCACATCCCTGCATACCTTTCTTTCATCTTTTCTTCCTTGCTGCTCCCCTTTCCTCCAGTTCCGAACAGTTCATGTTTCCTGGTAGCCACGAACTGGAGCAGCGCTTCGATTTCCACCCTTTCAATTCATTACGCCACATTATGCCTACAAGTGATATATATATATATATATATATATATATATATATATATATATATATATATATATATATATATATATTACTTTACCTCGTTAAACTTAGGCTCATTCCATCGGTTGGCTATTTTTGGGGAAAACATCGGAATTTGAAACTCAGCATTTGTGAAAAAGTTTACACTTCTTCATTTTTTTCTACGGGATGGGGTGAACAACAAACAGTTTCAAATAATCATGTTTTTTATATATATTAACCTTAATGACTTAAACAATGTAATATAATCGTAATCTGTTATTGTCTCTCATTTTCTTAAATTACACTTCTTTTCTTACAGACAAAATTCAATAATAATTTTTTGTATTAATCTTAATGAAAATGAATTAATCTGAAAGAAAATAGATGTATGTTTAATAAACTATGTAATGTAATTGAAGATGGAAATCTGTTTACCATCATAATTACGCTTTGTATTACATTGTGCATACAGTTACAGAGTGTCAAGAAGGTGGATCCCCAAGGATCACTATCGAGTGTGACCCAGGATCAACGATCAGAATCATCAAAGGAGTGTGTGTGAAGGTTCCTTCTTGCGATGCTTATGACCCCTCTCTGGAGAGCCAGTGTGATAACAGTGACAAGACGGCACAGTCGGCTCCGTACTGCGCGACTGTCAATCCATGTACCTTCTCTGTCTCATGCACATTGGGTGCAACGTGCCCAGGGGATTACACCTACGGCTACGCTGATTATGAATGTAAGCAGTAGCGGTTCTAGAAATGACAGGAAATCAGCCCCCCCCCCAACCCCCTCGAACAAAAAAAAATCTTGCACCTGAACATAACATTAGAAAAATATTAATCTATGAGAGGCAAATGCAGAATAAATGCACAAATCCCCAAGCCCCGGCGCTCCTCCTAAAACAAATGTTGTTATTTATATGTAATTGCATGAAAGTCAAAAAGGATGAACATTTAACGTTTCAAGGAGCTTTAATATAAAATGCATCCAATAAATCAAGTAATTACATAATTTTCAAGAGAAATAAATCATGAACGTTGAACCCACTGCAAAATTAATTGCATAACAATCACCTGAAACTGCGAAACAAAAATCGAAATATATTCAAGTTGTTCTTATTTGGGGATGCGTAGAGAAGTGAATGTTTATGTTATGTATTCATAACTATGTATTGGCACTGTTTTCTAAGTGTTCTACATGTTTCATAATGATATAGTTGTAATTCATACAGCACCTTTTCCACTAAGATGGCATCCACGAGTTAGTGTTACCAAGCAGTGAAAGTTTAAGTTAAAAGAATGCGTAAGGTTTTAGAACAGGAAGGTCTCCAAACTCTGTTTGAATGTTTCTACTGTTGGCATGTTGGTGATGATTTTAATTTGAGGGCGTATCTTGTTCCGGAGTGTGCCAGCAGGAGAGGTAAAAGCTGCATCTCCAGCTGATTTGTCGATTATTGGTTCAGGCGCGAATCCAGGAATTTCTTGCCGGGGAGGGGGGGGGGGGGCACCGTTTTGGAAAGAGAACATATATATATATTTTTTTTAGTCCCCCCAAAATCGCAACGACTCAGCCAGCCGCTGAATAAGCGGGATGGGGGGGGGGGGGATGAGAGGATACTTTTTTTTTGGGGGGGGGGGGGGGGTAAAGAATTTTTTTAATTTGACATTTTGCACCGTCATATTATATTATGTTATGTTATGTTATATTATTTTTGGGCCGGGGGGGCACGCCCCTGTTTTTCGGTATATTTTGGGCGAATTTAGGGCTGATTATAACATTTTTTTTTGGCGGGGGGTGGGGCACGTGCCCCCTGTCCCCCCCCCCCCTCTGTATCCGCCACTGTGATTGAATAAAGATCGCTGTCGATCTTTTTTCCTCCTATAAGTTAAATTGTTTAAATCCTCGATCATCTTTTTAATGCTATTCTTATTCCACCCACAGGTGTTACAGATGAAACAACCGCGCCGACAACGTTAACAAGTGTGAGTTATCCTCCATAAGGGGGTCATGTGACATACAAACATTCCCAAGAAGACTGTAATTTAGTGTAATATGAAGAAATATCTAACTATTTTTTTTCAGATGAAATTTTGTATAACATCACAATTGAATTCGTCTTACAATTTATTTATTTTATTTTACTCACTCGCTTCATCACCTATTCATTCATGCATTTATTTAATTTCATTTAGTTGTTGATAGTTAGAACAGTAATAAGTTTCATAAACCAAGTTGAATGATAAAACGATACACTTGATACTGATTGCTTGGTTACTGGATTGTTTCTTATTCTTCTACTTAGTTATGCATGTAATTCTGAATTATCCTCTATTTCGTGAAATCTACATATCATATATAGAATTTTAGTTATTTCATAAATTAATGTATTATGATTATACTGAATGAAAAGAATTGTATATTTCTGTTTGATAACAGGCCAGCCGTGAAACGCCTACAGAAGAACGGACTCCAACGCCAAGTAAGTATTCACAAACTGATGTGAAGGTGTCATGGTAAAGTGGTTCAGTCATTTGACTCTCAATCCTAATGTTCATGGTTTGAATCGCAGTCTGGCACCAATTTTCTTTGGCAAGATCAGCATTTGCAATTTCCTACCCCGTTTAATTGGGTACCTGGCGATCGCTAAAGTAATACTAATTGCAAGGCTCTCTGGCAAAATAGCACTGGATCTGACGAGGCTTCTCTTGGTAGACAAAATCATGATTATTATCATTATTATCCTTTATTATTCACGAGTCTGCCGTTTTGTAAATATTGAAGGAATCCGTTGCATTGTAATTTAATTAGAAATAAATATGAAATTATCCAACAGGCTATATGAAATTTCAACTTAGCCTTTAATAAATCGTTAAGGTTTAGGGACATGCTATATGTATTTCCATGCCAAGTGTAGGTCTACGTAACCTTGTAGTGGGTTGGAAGGGGTTAGTCTTTACCTAGCATTGCATCTTTTAATGCTCGTCTTTTTAATGCTATTCTTATTCCAAACATAGGTGTCAGAGGTGAAACAACCGTTCCGACAAGGTCAACAAGTGTGAGTTATCCATAACGGGGTCATAGGACATACACACATTTACTGGGAAGAATATGATTATGTGTTATTCAAATAATTTACTAACTCATTCGTTTTATAGATAATTTTTTGTCATAATATGATGAATCGATTTAACGTTCAAATTAAGATTCATTCATTCTATTTTAGTCACTCGCTTAATCACTTATTCATTCAAGCATTCATTTATTTCCTTTTTATATATTTGTACAATGTAATTTTGACATAGATTTTTCTTTTTCTCACTTACAAATAAAAGTATTAAACATCGATTATGAGTGAGAATAAAAATAGGTTTCATAACACGATACACATCGATCATTGCTAGGTAACCGGGTCGTTTCATATTTTCCTACTGAGTTACGTATGTAATTCTATATTACCCCGTTTTCATGAAATAAAGTATTCACGATAAAATAATGAAAGTTATTTCATGAAATAACCTGTTATTATTATACTGACGGGAGAGAGTGTTACATTTATGTTTGATAACAGGGCACTCCTGAAACACCTACAGAAAAACGGACTCCTACGCCAGGTAATATTCACAAAATTATGTAGAGGTGTCATGGTAAAGTGGTTCATTCACTTGGCTCTCACTCCTTATGTTTAGGGTTCGAATCCCAGACCGGCACCAATGTCCTTTGGCAAGACATACGCACATTCGCCACTCCCAACCCAGCTGTAAATGGGTAACTGGCAATTCGTAGTGTAATAATAATTGCAGGGCGCTTTGGCAGAACAGCACTGAAGCTGATGAGGCTTTCCTGTAAACAGAATTATGATTATTATCATTATTATCATGTATTATTTAAGATCAGACAAACCAGAAAAACAATATTGATTATTAGAGTAGGCATACAGAAATTAGAAACATTATGATTAAAAGCTAAATAAATGTAACTATTATCATTTTATTAGTAGTAGTAGTATTATTATCATTGTTGTTGTTGTTGTTGTTATTATTGTGATTTTGTGTGGATTGCCTGGCCTCATGCTCACGACACTGGCAACCCAGAGAAGGAAATGTACAATAAACATACAAGTATTTGATGCAGTGGGCCAGTAAGCCGAGGTAGCTTTTCTACTTAGGACATTTTCGTCATTTTGTATCGTACCCTCGTTTACAGGTATTAAGTTAAGATTTTGTATATTTTTGTGTAATAATTGAATGTTTTATCATTATCAAAATGGGGCAAACGCTAAGGCGGGATTGAGGCCATAAATAATACCTTTAGGGGCGCAGCATCCAAACCTCCTTGCCCCCTGAAGATACACGAGTCTGCCGTTGTGTTAATATTGAAGGAATCCGTTGCCGTTATCCAAAAGGCTACATGAAATTTCAACTTACCCTTTAGGCGAGGCGTTAAAAATAAATATACCAGCCAGCGGCAGCTAACTGCACTTGTGCGTCCTGGCTGCATTTTTTAAATTAGCTCAGCCGGCTACCGCTGGCGGTAGGACCCTCAATTAACTCATGATGTCATCATAATGGTCTCCGAACAAAAGCATGCGCCGGCTGCCGCCTTTCGAATGGAAACCGAGCCTCAGATCCCAGCCTGGCGCAAGCCGGCTGGGCTAATAAGTGAAAAATAATTGCCCCAGCCAGGCTTCGGCCGTAATTGCAGCCTCGATGCGCCAATACGTGAGGCGGCAGCCTGCTGGTATCGATATTTTTGACGCCTCGCCTTAATAAATCGGTCAGGTATAGAGATGTGCTATATGTATTTCCATATCAAGTGTAGGTCTACGTAACCTTGTAGTGGGTCGGAAGGGGTTAGTCTTTACCTAGCATTGCATCTTTTAATGCTCGTCTTTTTAATGCTATTCTTATTCCAAACATAGGTGTCAGAGGTGAAACAACCGTTCCGACAAGGTCAACAAGTGTGAGTTATCCTTAACGGGGTCATGGGACGTACACACATTTACTGGGAAGAACATAATTCGATGTTATTTAAATAACTAATTCATTTGTTTTATAGATAATCTTTTTTCATAACATGATGAACTGATTCAACTTTCAAATTTCAATTTATTCATTCTATTTTACTCACTCGCTTAATCACTTATTCATTCATTCATTCATTTATTTCAATTTATATATTTGTGCAATGTACTTTTGACATAGATTTTTCTTTTTCTCACTTACAAATAAAAGTATCAACCATCGATTACGAGTGAGAAGAGAAATAGGTTACATAACAGTAAGTTGAATGTTAAAACGATAAACTTAATTCGATCATTGCTCGGTAACCGGGTTGTTTCATATTTTTCTATTAAGTTACGAATGTAATTCTATATTATCCCGTTTTCATGAAATATACGTTTCACAATAAAATGATTAAAGTTATGTCATGAAATAATCTATCATGATTATACTGACGGGAAAGAATGGTACATTTCTGTTTGATATCAGGCCACTCCTGAAACGCCTACAGAAGATCGGACTCCTACGCCAGGTAAGTATTCACAAAATTATGTGGAGATGTCATGGTCAAGTGGTTCATTCACTTGACTCTCACTCCTTATGTTTAGGGTTCGAATCCCAGACCGGCACCAATTCCCTTTGGCAAGACATAAACCCACATTCGCCACTTCCTACCCAGCTGTAAACGTGTACCTGGCAATTCGTAGTGTAATAATAATTGCAGGGCCCTTTGGCAGAACAGCACTGAAGCTGATGAGGCTTTTCCTGTAAACAAAATTATGATTATTGTCATCATCATTATTATCATTATCAACGATAAGACAAATCCAGATAAGACACTATAAGATAAGTTGTGATAGGACAGTTATTAGAAACATTTAGTATGTAACTATTATTAGCATTTTATTATTGTTAATTACGATTATTATTAATTGTAGTAGAAGTATTATTATTCTTATTATTACCGTTGTTGTTACTATTATTATCATTTATTATTTATATAATTATTGTTATTCATATTAAAATAGTAGTAGTAGTAGTAGTAGTGGTAGAAGTAGAAGTAGTATCACATGTATTACTTTCATCATCGTTGTTATTAATATCATTAATATTTCATGGTTGATCTAATGCTAGAAGTAGCATTCCTACACAGATAGCAACCAGCAAAGTATGGTTTAATATCAGGGAAAGTCGTTTGATTTCTGTACACTAAATGGGGGGGGGGGGGGGGTTGGTGAAGGGAGGCATCTATTGCAAGAAAACAGAGCAAAAATATACAATATACATACATATATGTATTTGGGGCAGTGGGAAAGTTAGCCGACGGAGCGTTTCTGCTTCGCAAATTTTCGCCATTTTGTGTTGTATCCTCGTTTACAAATGTTGAGTTAGAAGTTTGTATAGTTTTGTTCAATAATAAATATTTGTCTAATTATTAATATGAACGACGGTAGGAAGGGGGGAGGCAGCGCGGGGGAGGCTTGAATAATATTGTTTTCGCCTGCAGCATTCAAAGCCCCTCACCCCCCCCCCCCCCCCCCGACACAAATAAACAAAAAATGAATCTATTTTGTGGAAAATTTAAGGCATCCGTTGCCTTATAATGTAATTCGATATATATATATATATATATATATATATATATATATTTCATTATAGGTCTAAATTATGGGAGGTATTAGAGGTATTTCATATTAAAGTTTAACGTAATTTCACCTCTCCGTATACCTACTATGAAAGTAAGCTAAAAATAGATGGCCAGATAGTCATATGCCTTCTTGTCCAACGGCTAATGGACTTGGGTAAACATTCTTTTAAAAATCTTAGAAATGAAAACAAAATAAAACAACGAACATAAAGAGAGAGAGAGGGTGAAAAAATCAAACTGTAGCTTCAAACAGTGTGTGGTGTTAGCGATGTTTAAAGAGAAATTCGAAATTATCCGACAGGCTACATGAAATTTCAACTTGGCCTTTAACAAAATCAGTCAGGTGTAGTATTATGCTACATGTATTTTTTATGTCAAGTGTATGCCTACGTAATCTTTAAGTGGGTTGAAAGGGGTTAATCTTTGCCTAGCATCGCATCTTTAAACTTTATAATAATTCATAACACGTTCACAAAGACTCCCTAGAAATAAAATCAAAGGCAATTGAATTATACTATTGCATATATCCCCCCCAAAAAAAATCATGTTTGGATTAGGTAATACGTCGCTGTAATGCTCGCATATTTTAAAAGGTGTAGACCACGTTATTGAAATTGATTAAGGATCATGTTTTGAAAGCCCTTGCGATCATCTTTCATATAGGCCTACGTTAATAGGTATCGTTAAACGTCACATCAAATGTTTATTTCGGTTATTTTCCACAGATTTTACCACAATTCACCAGGCATTGCCCACACTACCATCACAAGCAGACATAGTCCACCAGAAGACCTCCCTCTTCAAACGGATCGAGGGACGGCGCCTTCGAAATCACGTGATCAAAACCAAACATGGATTGTCATTGGTCAAATGCGGTGCCGAGTGTAACAAGCGAGATGACTGCGTGTCATTTAACATCAGCAACGGTGTGTGTGAGCTCAACAACCAGGTGGTAGGCGGCACCGATGTCGGCATGAACGACTTTGTTACAGACGATGAATTTAAATATTATGAGAAACAATAGGCTTTGAGTCGAAATTTGTCTTGAATGTATTAACCATCATAATAATTGTTTGTGAAAACACGTGATTGACGTACATAGATATTAACTCTTTTTTTTCTTCATATATCATTCACTTATTATATCAATTGAGAATATGAGTATCACAGTGATTTGTCGTTCAAGATGTTGATTTACTTCTTTTCTTTTCATGTGTATAACGGAACTTTAGAAAAAAAAGTGGCACCAAGTTGTAGTTGTGTTGTTCATGTGCATATAAAATTTACTTTGTATGATAAATAATTCTGTATTTAATTGTGTGAATTCTATATCCATTGCATTGTTAAAGGTCAAATGATTTAAAACACACCCTTTTGGGTCAGACTATTGCCATTATGTAATGGAGCGTTATAAAAGAAAATTACACTTTTATATTCATAAATAATGAAGAGACAATTAACACGAAAATGTTTGTCTTGATTTTTTTGATTATTTGATTTCTGGATCATCTTTTGAAAAAAGGCCAACATTTTCATGAATTTCAACATAAGGGTATTAATCTGATAAGGTCTACACAAACACGTCCACGCACACCCACATACACACACAAATAAAATACTGAAGATTGGATGTTGATGTTCTCAATATTCATGCCTTTACTGTTGGGGTACTATAAATAGGTTTTGATTTTCAGGATAAAATCAGAACTATGGGTAACCTAAATATTAAATGCTGAAAATAGGACCTATGGTTTATCTGAACCGAATCAGATTCCATAGGACTAGGTCTTAGCTATACAAGGACACATCTTTGTTCTCAGATATCAGCTTCGTACATAGTATTTCCCCGGTCGTAAAAATTGAACGCAATAAGAATTTGACGTTTTATACAGTTTTCAATGACTAACCTATGGGCTTACAGGTTTATTTATCTCATGTGATCGGGAAGGCACAGCGACT